TGACCAGTTTATTTCTTCCATACCTCATCAAGTTCCCTCTGATCGAATGCCACTATGTCTCATTAGTTCTACGCAACCTTTGTTTAATTCTTTATCTTCCGTACCCAACCCTCTCCATTGACCCCTTCTCCCAACCCGTAACATTCCCTCCGACAACTTGGTTATCACCCATCGAAGTTCGTTGCCAAGTCGCCCGGTAAGTAGGCTACTACAAAATAGATGGCAGATTCTGAAGCCTCGTCAGCCACTGAATCTGGGGGCCTTTAACGTGAGGACTCTGATGTTCACGAGTGTGTCTGGCGCGTACAATGGACCTTTGGGGATTGATGTCTGCTACGTGCCGGGGACTCGAATCCAGGATCCTAATACTATATACCACCGGGGTTGTCTTCGAGGTTCTTCCTCCTTACGTCAGGTGATGACAAAGCCCGTTCAGCAGGCCAGTGTGATGTGGGCATTGCACTGCATAATACAGCCGAAGCTGCACTACTCNCTACTCGATTGGATCCCCGTCAACAGCCGCTTATGTGCGATGAGGCTCCAAGGGTCTGTCAGCGTCCGGAAGGGAAGCAACACCAAGAGGTGTTTATTCATCATTTCAGCGTATGCATCGACCAACTGCAGTTCTGACGCACAAAAAGACCAGTTTCATGATAAACTAACCAAACTCATTCGATTGAGCCGAAGCTTCGATACAGTTGTTCTCGCAGGTGATTTTAACGCTCAAGTTGGAAATTTGAGCGCATTGGAAGCTTACCTAGGCGGTCATTGTGCTCTACCCTACCAGCGAATAGATAATGGTAATCGACTTCTCCAGTTCTGCACAGATCCTCAGCTGTTTCCATCCACCATGAACTTCCGAAACAGCTCTGATCGAACAGCAACGTGGCGCTCAAATTCAACTGGTACACTAACTTATATCGACCACATAGAAGTAAGCTACCTTTGGCGTGGCTCAGCACAAAACTGCAGGTCCTATTGGACCACCCGCGTTGAATCTGATCATGCGTTAGTTTTGATGCAGTTCGCTCTCCAACTCAGTGGTCGCAGAAAATCCCACCAGACTCGATTGGAAGATCTTCACTTATCTGACCCAGCTGTTCGTGCACGTTTCGAATCAGAACTAGGGCAAGGGCTAAACGCATTGCGGGGTGCTAGCATAAATGAACAACAGGATCAGATTAGCCGAGCAATGCACTCCGCAACGAACGTTGCTTGTAGATCTGAACCTTTAGCCCGCCCGATATATTGGATATCTGATGCGTCAGTAGCACTTATGGAGAAAAAGTGGCAAATACCGACAGCCTGGGATCAAGGCAGGGTTACGTGGCGTCTACAACGTCAACTCACGAGGAGCCTCAAGAAAGACCGTGAGAACTGGTGGGCAAAGATAGCTAGTGAAATGGAAACAGTAGCTGATATGCAATATGGGAGCTCGGCGAACCAGTTAGTGAAACAATCTGCGACAAAAGTGGACAAGCTATTCACAATAGGGAACAGCGGCTTGACCGATGGTTAGAGTACTTCAACGAACAGTTCAGTTGGCCAGGTGCTCACTAGGCTATCCTCGGTGTAGCTCAAGCTCCGTGCGCAGTGTCATCTGAACCTCCTACTGCAGCGGAAGTTCGATCTTGCATCCAAGCCCTGAAGAAAGGAAAAGCAGCAGGACCAGATGGGCTTTCCAAGATGGGGTGGAGCGATGACTTTGTAGACTCCATTACTGATATAATGCGTAGCATCTGGTTACACGAGCACACTCTGTCATCCTGGACCGAATCACTGGTCGTTCCAATTTTCGAGAAGAGATCTCGCAATGACTGCGCAAACCACCGTGGAATAAATTTGATCCTAATCGTCACCAAATTGCTAGCCTCCATCGTACTTCAACGTGGGAGTTCGGTACAGGAAACGTTCCCCGCGTCACCTGACTTTAGGTCAAGGTAGCGTTTCTAGTCTTTGTATATCCAAGTGCTAAATGCAAAGCAGCAGGAAGGTGGCTTATAGTTGCCGGTGAGTGGGGGGGGGCGAAGGGAATAGTCATACGCCATTGACAGCCGTCGGGTCGTGTAGGTGACTTCGTCAGCCGAACACGTACGTTAGACACCGACTCGGCGGGAATTGATCTCCCGGTTACCGTCAACCTGGTTTCACCCGCCTGTCGAGCGGTTTACCGGGGTGTGGCCGCTGGTACATCCAAACAACTTCTTGGAACCATCGGGTTGAGCTGAGCGCCTGTGAAGACCAAAGAACAGAGGTGCTACTCCTATCAGATACCCCATCACCTAGATCCTATTTCGTACTTTCTAATTCATCCAAATGAATAATCCAAACCGCCGTGTGAACTGATGAAGGGTTAATGGTTGTATAAACTGAAAAGCTAAATGTAATCCGCGTTCCACAAAGTCTTCAATATCGTTCCGATCCGGGCTGGTATTTGATGTTGCTGTAAAAGGAATCACTGAACAGCAGTAGCGTTGAAAAATGTCGCCTATTCCAGGTCCCTTCATATTTGTTTTTTATGTTATATAGTTTACCGTATAAATCACCCAGTCATTATCTCTCTCTCTCTCTCTGTGTGTGTGTGGAGGGGAGGGGCATTCTCTCGATTTGTCATCACAGAACAACCAACTCCGTGCAAAGACTGATACATCTTTTTTCTAAAGGTTTGTTATGACCCTTCAGTTACAAATCAAAGTCAAACAGCTTATGGCTCTTGTTCCGCCTCCCCCCCCAAAAAAAAAATTTGATCAAGACATCTAACCCCTTTATTGTATGTGGCTTCCTCTAATCCTTGCAAATAGAGTCTAGCGTGATGATAAACAACTCTAACTGGTTTTCATTTTATAAAAATCTGTTCATCTCAGTTCTTTTGGACACATGGATGAGCGAATGAAATAGATCTGCCACAAGGGGAAAATGTTTGTCCTTCTGTGCTGAATGAAATCGGTACGAATTTGTCTACCGTGACCGATGACACGGAATCGGGAAGGAAAACTCACCAACTATTCCGAATCATACTAAATATATGTTTCCCATAGTTGCATTGTTCTCTCCTATCTGGTAGTGTACACCTGTGAACCTATCGTCCTGTAAATTGCCTTCCGGAGGAGAGTAGCTGTTTATAATGGTCAAATTGATTGGTTCTCCGTTTATCACGATTCCTTGTGTTCTCTATCATTTGCCTGTTTCGAGACGATATTTCAATTCTCCTTAGTCTTCCGTGCATGTCCCCTCCGCACTACAACTATTCCGCCCGCAAAATCCTTCACACCCAAATGATAAGATCGGTCAGTGTCGTGCGAACGAACAGTGTTCATACCACACCAAACACAGGCTTTACACACACACACACTCCCTCTCGTACGTGGCACGATTGTATCGTCACTTCATCACAGCTTCAACTGGCCTTTCTACAGTCCGATAAAATCGTGGCCAAATAGTCTCTGCCGTGGTACAGTCCGTGCGTGAAACATGGCGACCGGGCAACTTCACGCGTTCACGGATCATCTCACCTGTACGAGTGCTAAATTCACCGGTTGATGGGGGAGAGAGAGCCATAGATAGGGGTTTTGTCAAGAAGGATGAGTGAGATAGGGCCCCAAAGTTCCGTCACACAAGTCACGCTTTTTGCTGTTATTCTGATTGCTTATCGCGGGCGCCACGTCTGATCACACCATTTGATAAGGCAGGGGTTTCGGGNCAAATCTCATTTATCCGAATGAAGAATGGGGAAAGGTGGTTCTAACAGAGCACATACGAATACGATAAATATAGTGGAATGTTTGTTTTTTAATACTCGTTCAACTGATAGCGATGATAATAATTGGCGGTTGGGTTAATGGTGTGACGGAATTGTTGAGACTAGTGAGAGGGCTTTTCTTACGATTCCTGTGACACGCCATGGTTCATAACTGTATACCTGATTGATGGATAACAGGGGAAATAGATAAAGCTGAATGAGTAAACGAATGGGCGCGTGGGGAGATGGAATGATGATGATGATAGATAATCCCCGGATGGTCACTCTTCGGGCCATGACCTGGAATGATGATAAGACTTGTGTGTGTGTGTTTTAGGGGGATAGCATGAACATGTGGATATGTTTGTTACGCCCTTGTGTGACACAAAAATGCTGGCGCCATGACGCTTTCTAGCTCATCACCCATTCACACCTATCCTGTAAACTCGGACCGGGCAAACGGTTCCCCTTCGAACTGTACAAGCCGGTGTGATGTTATTTGGGCCCTGAGAATACACTGTGTTAGACAAGACCCAGACTGATTTTT